CTCACTATCTACACACACATTACCTTTCCTTCTTTTATATACCAGCGTAACCTATTTTTAGTATGAACTTGAACAATCGACAAAGTACATGATAGTTCTAGAAACGTTGCGTCATAGTATTCACGTGACTCGCTGACGCAACACTGCCCCCTTCCTTAATATTGTTCGTCCCGAACAATAACCACATATGATAAACCAATAAAAATTAACTTAATTAAAATGTACAGAATTACAAACACAAAGTTACAATTCAACAAAGTCTCTTAATTTTACGGGACGTATCTTCTTCCGTACTGGTCTCCGTCTCGTTGGCTTCTGCTTCACGTGGGGTTCATCTACTTCATCAGGAAATGTCCTATCATCGGTAACAGTCACACCAGTGTAGTAACTTCACAAGAGCTTCACCGTTTCCCTTCTCAAAACTGAGTAGAGTTTCTTCTTCGACGGTGGCTTCTTCAGGAGGCACGTCTTCAGCAGCGTCATTTGTTCTGTGGTCCACTTCATCCCAACTGAAATGTCCTGGACCATGATAACGCCAAAGCCTGTTGGCATGCACCACTTTTGGTTTACCTCGCCGACCACATTTTACCCGGAAAGTCACGACTGAGAGACGATCCACTATGTCATATGGGCCTTAGGAGACTTCCCTTTGGTCTTCCTGGGATTATACAACCATACCTTGTCTCCTGGTACAAAGTTGACTTCAGTAGATCTCTTATCATAAGTTAACTTCATCGAATCAGCAGACGTTTTCAAGTTTCAATGCACTTGATGGTGGGTATCATCCATCCTTTCTGATAACACTTTCACAAACTCCGACACATTCTCAGGCAACTCTTCATAAGGTGGGCGTCCTGTTAACAGATCCACTGGCAACCGAATTTCCCGACCAAATATCAACTTTGCTGGAGTGTATCCAGTGATTTCATGCTCTGCTGTCCTATAGGCCATCAATAGTGGAGGGAGTAAGACATCCCAGTCATCTTGGCGGCTATTACAAAACTTTGCCAATTCCTGTCCCAGTGTCCAGTTGTAGTTTTCTACCATCCCATCAGACTGTGGGTGAAGTGGCGTTGTCCTGGTCTTTCGGATGCCAAACAACTTGCAGCATTCTTGGAACACAGCTGATTCAAAGTTATGGCTTTGATCTGAATGCAGTTCATATGGCATACCAAATCTGAAGAAGAAGTCACTAATAGCCGAAGCTACAGTTGTAGCTTCCTGATTTGGTATTGCATATGCCTCAGGCCACTTGGTGAAATAATCCATCACCACACAAATGTACTTGTTTCCAGCACGAGTTTGGGGCAGAAGACCAGCAATGTCGACGGCTACTCTTTCCATTGGTGCACCAATTTGATATAACTTCATTGGAGCACGTCCCTTATGCTTGGGTCCCCTTTTAGCACAACATGTATTACATGTTCTGCACCATTCTTCCACATCTTGTCTCATACCTATCCAGTAAAATCTGTGTCGTAGGTGATTCAATGTTTTCTTAACTCCGAGATGTCCTCCTGTTACAGTATCATGGGATTGACGCAACACAACTTCCCGTAACTTTCTCGGTATAACCGTTTGCCATGTCGTCACTTTCCTATCTGCAGTTTCCCATCTCCGGATAAGAATACCATCTTCAAGCCTCAACTGGTCCCATTGTGCCCAACAGTTCTTTGTCACAGGGCTTAGACAAGACACCTTCTCCCAAGCAGGGTGCAAAACACTTGCTTTTAGGAAATCAATCATTGGCTTTAAATCTTGGTCTTTCTCCTGTTCTGCCTTGATATCTATATTTGGTTCTACTTCATCATCATCAACTCTTTCAGTCTGCTTGACTTCAGCTTGATGGCACCTGGTTAGTTCAACCTCTCTTTTGCAGCAATGTCTGCAGTCATTTTTGCAGGGTCTTCGGCTCAGTCTATCAGCATTACCATGGGATTTTCCTTCTCTATATTCAATATTATAATTATACTGGTCTATTTATCCGATCCAATGTGCTAGTTGTCCCTCTGGGTTCTTTAATGATCTTAACCAGCGTAACACAGCATGGTCTATCCTGATGGTAAACCTTGCACCGTAGAGGTAAGGATGGAAATATGTCAGACTCTTTACTATAGCAAGGAGTTCCCTCCGTGTTACACAGTAGTTCCTCTCTGGTCTACTTAACACCCTACTGAAGTAGGCCACCACATGTTCGTTTTCGCCCACTTTCTGAGACAACACTCCTCCAATTCCGACATTACTAGCATCACAATCCAGTATGTACGGCAGTGAGGGATCTGGAAGCCTTAAAAGTGGAGCAGAGGCCAATTTTTCCTTCAACGTCTTGAAGGAATGCTGGCAAGAAATTGTCCATTCAAACTTTTTGCCTTTTATTGTCAAATCATGTAGTGGAGCAGCTATAGTTGCAAAGTCCTTCACAAATTTGCGGTAGTAAGTACAGAGTCCCAAGAAACTTCTTAGCTCTCCCACATTGTCTGGTGTTGGCCAGTCATGCACTGCTTTCACCTTATCAGGATCAGTTTGTACACCATTCTCACTAACAATGTGGCATAAGTAAAGCACCTATTTCTGGAACAAATGACATTTCTTGGGATGGAGTTTGAGGTTTGCTG